CTGAATCCAGGTGCGCAAACACATCCGTAGTGACCAGTCGTGTGACCGTTGACGCAAATATTGCCGTCAGAACTGTTACCGCATAAACTGGAGTGGCAAGGTCCTCCGACGCGTGACCAGATAGTTACGTTTTCACCGGGTTGTCCCGTGTAATTTGGCCCTAGATTGCGATCGCCAGGAGGCCAGAAGGATAAGGCGGTTGCGGAAGACGGAGAAATCATGATGTTACCAGAATTGGGAGACAAAAACGGCGCATAGGGAAAACGTCTCACCATCACAGCTGTCGCTGTTGGACTAGACGTTGCTCCGTTAGTAATAGTACTGTCATGATAGTGGTCTTTAACCTCGAACCCTGCAATCGTCAAGTTGTCCAAAACCAATCCGCGGTCATCTTTGCCAGCTTCTGTGCCATTCATATTCCAAGTTTTGTTCACCATTGGATAATGCAGCGTCAGCAATTCGAATTCTGCTCTGATGAAGCTGTGCTTCCATAGACCTGCTATCTCGCGTTCGCAGACAAGCTCATACTCGGGCACTGGGAAGTCAGGTGAGTCTCTTGTTCGTGTACAGGGAGTCGCGCGGCGCCAAAAATACTCTGCAACATGATCTAAAGCTCTGCAGCACTCCCTTCGCACACTTGGTGAGACGCAGGCACGGTAACTAGCCACAATCTTGCCGTCGTTGCTATTGCTAGCGTTGTGCAGCGCAGCGAATGCAGGAGAAGATTCCAAATATTGCTGAGGAGGCAGAGGCACGGTCGTGCTGCCAGTTGGCGTGCTTGCTGTTGCTGCGCTATTACTAGAACTAGTGTAAGACACCGAGGACGACGAGGTAGCATAAACAATATACTCATCAAACGCTTTCTCCAACAGCGCAGTCCAATTAAAGCCTTGCTTCGTTTGCACGTCCACGTTGAGTATCACCTCGTTGAAGATACAATGCCAAGGATTCACGACTTGTATCTCGGTGGGGAGTTCGTGCAAAGCAGTGTTGCCAGCATTATCGGCCATCTCGACTCTGGCAGACCAGATGCCTGGCTTACCGTACACTGGGAATCGCAAAGGAAAGCGCAATTGACCAGATAGTAGAGATTAGAACACGGAGAAAAAGAAGTAGGTAGAAGTAGAAAAACAAAGACCAGATAGTAGAGATTAGAACACGGAGAAAAAGAAGTAGGTAGAAGTAGAAAAACAAGAAGTTACTAAACCTACAAGTACAAACATGAGAGAACGAGAACTACTAACTCTATAGTTCTTGAAGTAAAACTAAACAAATTGGACAAACATACCTGAACAAGAACAGCACGCTAAACATATCCAACTATCATAAACTGCCGATTGCTTCGACAAAAAAGCGTCGTGGCGGTTACCGTGAGTGTCGAGGAGCGTCGGATGCCGACAGAAACCCCGAGTAGGCCTTTTGTTAGCGATTCTCCAAGTGCTAACTCATTCCTGTAGCAGATACATCGCAGCAAGGAAAAGGAAACAAGGGAAACGAAATTCACGCGAATAAATCATCGAGTCGATCATCATGACGTCACTTTGTGTTAGAAGTGGATCTAGAAATTATAGATGTACATGTACTACTAGATCCATGCCTTAATGCTATCACTAATCGGTGTAACTGTCGCACTAGAAGTTATTGAGCCATTGTTCACAGTCGACGCGTCTGGTCCTCGAGAGCAGTAGGTGGATGAAAACATGTCCCCGGTAGTGCCCATGTTAAGATCGCTGACGAAGTCAGGATGGGAAACGCGGAGATTGATATCCTCTATTCGCCAGAGCAGAGGCCCGATACCCGAAAGCGCGTCAGTGAAGTCTGGAAGAGGTAGAAGATAGAGCAGTGGAAGAAAGCAGAAGTTGAAGAGGGGTGGTCGTTTGTGGGTGAACGAAGATGATTGGTCGTTTGTATATTGAACGAAGATCTTCTGAAATTGCCAATGTTGAGCATCAACAAATATTTGTGTCGGCGAAAGTACGACGGAGCACTGGAAGACGTGTAGAAGTATTGGAGCTGACAAAAAGCGCCGAAATGGCACGAGGCAGTAAAGTCAAACACAACGAAGAAACCAGAAAAAACAAAAGTACTAATAGTCATGTCCACTTGCACATCTTCCGTGACTGCATGCGTGAAATCGACACGAGAGGCACTGGCGTAGACTTGTCCGATACTAGGCGGCGTCTCGTCTGATTGAGACGTGCCTACTACGTTTGGCCATACAAAAAGCGGATCCACGTTATTGGAAAACATGGGTTATGAAAAAGGGGAGCAGGAATAGGAAGATTGTTGACCCTCCGTAGCTCGGTGGAAAAATGTATTCTTGACTACTTCGGTGACTATGTTATGGTTTAGGTTTATGGTGGTATCTATGTATGTTTTTATGGTTTAAGTTGATGGTGGTATGTAGATATACTATTATGATAAATATTATACTTTTCGTCTTCATCCTCATAAGGTCGTCATCCCACCAGTGGGCCCTCCAAAAGACCGAACGGTGCCATTCAACAATTCGACGTCAAGATGAACTGTCCAGCTACCAGTTTCACTGTAAGCAGGTATTCGGAGATCCTGGAATCGCAAAACACCGGAATAAGCATCACCAGAAATGATCGTTGCTGACCTGGTAGTTGTTGTTAGTATCATCTATTGTATTTATTACGCGCCGTTGGTTATCGTTCTCACTCACAAATTTACAAAGAAGGGATAAGTACTTAATAATAACCTAACTCCTCTCCCGGTGTCGTGTCTCTTATTAAGTACTTACTCCGGTGTAGGTGTTAGTTGTTGTCCTTTCTTTCCATATATTTATCGTTACAAAGAAAGGATACGTATCTTTTACGTGTAAGTCCTCATTTTCCTATAATTATACCTATCCTTATAATGCAGTCCTACTGATGTTTCTGTACCTAACTCCTTCTCCGGTGTCGTGTTTTTTTGTGGGTGACTCGAGCCACAAGCGGTGACCGACAGTCCCGTTGGCGACTCCTTCTTCTCTGTTGTAAAACCCAAAATCGACCGAACTTATCGTCAAATATGGCGGATTGTCGACATCTGTCATATTCAGGATCGCACTCCTTGCTATGGCTTAGACAAATACGACTAGCACATTGGTTTTTGCGCTTCTGGTGACCATCTTTCTCGCTCAAGAGTAGAGCTCCTCGGTGCAAAGCCATCCCTGAGGTTGACTCTTCTTGCTGTTGTTGGTGATGGTATTCACTGTAACAGCTTTTAGATATCAGAAGCGCAGCTCCAGGAGGCCATGAACATGCCAGAGCCGAGTAGATGCCTTAACCCGAATTCACGTCCGTTTCAGTACGCGACACTGCATTTCCCTGGAAGCTGATGCTAGTAAGATTCGTGGATCCCAGGACACAGTAGCTGTGGATCTCGTCGTTTCCAGTCATTCCTACAGCGCGGATAAGGGCATCGGAAACGAGGTGTGTTCTCGCATTAGTGTTTGATGTGCGTCATGGCGTTTAGCTGCTGGAGCGGATAGTCGTGATTATGTAAGACAAAGATATGTACGACACTGACACTGTAAACCTTGAAGGTTTAACCATAACCTTGACCTTCTACCATAGGTATAATAAAGGCCTTAACTAAAGCAGGCATCTGGCTATGAATCTCGCTGTGACACATCTGCGAATTGTCACACAGCACGCTTCGCTGGGCACGAATGGCAGCTTTTGATGGGGCGAGACCTGCATATTCTCCACTCTCTTCGCATGCTCCATGATAATCGCTATCCTCCCCAACGCAAGTGTAGAGGAGGGTCTCGAGAACCTGACTTGGTGAAAACGAAGGATATTTCTATTCTATCTTGCTGCATGACTTACCCAAATTATTTGAATACCAAAATGAATCAGGTTCTCGTTGTTCTAGTCTTAACAATAGTCGATTCCATTTTGCTGCAGGGCTTGTCTGGATTGACCAAATCGGAAAATCAGGCTGTCCACAGTCAGAACTTTTGCGGCGCGGCAGCATTCTTCTGTCAGACTGTTGCCCAAATTCAGCCATTGACCTAATACACAATCATTCGTGGAGGTTAGGAGATTTCGAGTTTGCTCTCCCTCTACTTGTTCTAGACTTCCGACACGATCTTCCAGCGGTGGCCCATGCCCATTCGCGGTGACCGTGACAAGAAAGTAAAGGGCTGCTATTAGAACCACTGCGAACAGACGACCCATTTGAGGACTGCGGTACGGCATCTTTGCCATCACCGAAGGAAGCAGAAATCGAAATGGATATAGACCGGCCTTGATAATGGGCATCCACATTCACATCGTCTCTTTTCTTTGTATAACTGGAGGACCGCCACTTTCTGAATATCTCGCTGGCCTCACTTTGTGAAAAAGTAAAGAGTCCACGACCCTTAAAGCAGTCGCAGGGTAAGGTAAAATGGACTCTACTTGTTCGGACGTCGGTCGTGATAAAAGGGCAAATTACAGATAGTGTCATCTATCTGCGAATAGCGAAATAGCTCCTAGCGACATGAAGTGATGGAGACTAGGGATAGTTCAAGCCAAGACGAGAAACTAAGATACGAGGCAATAGCAACATACTACGCAAGTTATAGCAAACAAGAACAAGCAGCAGACTCAATCCGCACAAACAAAAAAAACAGACCATCACCAGAAAGCGCACACGCTCAGTTTCAACCGAAAGTTTGAGAAGATACGATGTGCACAGATTCATCAGGCGGCTCTTTGAATGTCTTCACAGGAAAAAAAACCGACCGGCGAAAAGCGGAAAAGTACAGAATATTCGTGCCTCTCTCCCGGAGCGGAATGTTGTCTCATCACAGACTGACTCACGCATCGCAGCTTTCATGGAGAAAGCCGTCCTTGTAGTTTCTCGACATAATATTAGAACCAGAACTGGATATCGTTGTGTGACAGAATCATCAGCGGCCTAAGACCAAAGAGTTCGCAGCAGGGTTCGGCGCTTGAACACCACAAGAGCATCCAGTGGTCTTCACGAGAAAGATCACGCCGCAATTTCGTTTCCTCATGAAAGATTCACATGTTTTCGTCCCAAATAAGAAGCAAAAATTTCCATAAGGTGATGATCGTCACCCTTTCTCTTTTTGGTAATTGGTAATTGTTGTAGAGCCAAGTCGTGCGTTTCGAAAAAAAGTTCTCCTCATCATTGCAGCTTGCACATTTCATTTTGAATATCCCAACATAAAAAAATTAAACATATTCATATTTGCATGACCATCATGAATGATTTCCCTATCCCTATCGTTCGTTTTCATGTTCCAAAATTTATGTTCAACAAAGCAAAAACTATCTGACGCATGGGTGTCTTGTGTAAAAAACGAGCACCGATTCGAGACTTTCACGAAGAAGTTCTAACCAAACGACCGAAAGGAAGCTCTGCAGAAAACAATCCAAAAAACTCACTTTACAAGACTGAAGACTTCCATCAAGATCAAAGGACAAAAATTAAAGTTACTGTGAGAAACAAGATATCTGCAGATACCATCTGCTGGAAATAGGTTAAGACCCCAATTGATCGATGACAATGTGTGGTTTGCATGACAAAAATAGCAATGCGCTGAGACTAGTATATCAGATGCACCAGTCTCAAAGAAAATTACATTCAAAAAAAATCCATATTTTCTCCCACTCCATCCTCTTCGTAGTCAGATTCATCCCCATCATCTGATATGAGATCCTCCTCATTCTCCTCCCTTTTCCCCCGACCAGTTCCCGCGCTCTGATGATTCTCTCGCTTAAATTGCGTCTCGCGCCGTTCTAACCAATCAGACGCAAAGTCTTGCAGTTGCTCGTCAGTGGCGCTCTCCAGCAAGGTTGCGAAAGAACGACTCGTCCATTCTCCAGTCTGGAGAAGTCCAAACGCCCAGGGATTAGAAGGACGATGGCTAATAGTTATAACTTGGTAACCGTGCTAACAACTGAGGAGAATCTGTCGAACAACCTATTTTCATTCCAGGTAGAAAAAAATCTCTTCAAATTCGAAGTACTTACACAATTTCAGTTCCTGGTTTAATCAAATAAATCTTCTGGTTTAATATTCATAAATATATCTGCTGCAAGGCATCGGGAAAACAAGGTCTTGCAACCAGCACGAGGCCCGGTGCGTGGCGTGTGAGGCTGTTGCAGCCTATCGACTGCAACCTCGAAAAAGCGGTCTGCAAAGCTTGACAATTTCGAAAAAACAAGGTCAACTCCTTGCTGTTCCTTCTGTTTACTTCCAGGAACTTTCTTCGTCTTCAAAACAAGTCCCTCCACAGCTGCAAGAAGAAACTGCACGTACCTAGCACCATGATTCTGCTCAAGTAGCTCCGTCATAAGTAGTTCTCGCACAATCCCTTCCGCTTTAGTTCGTCGTTGTGCGACGTCTGCGTCTCCATCGTGGGTTAGCAACAACGAATGCACAACTGCTTGTAAATCAATACAACTTGTTCTTCTTCTTGCCGCCGTCCTAGTTGTACAACAGCTGCTAGAAGGTAGTTGTGGAAGTACTCGTCGCAAGTGATGGAGTATATTTTTCTGCAGTAAAATGTTTCTCAAAAAATTTCCAATGTGGACCGATTGATGGCTGCGTTGATAGTAGTCGAAGTCTCTATCTTGTTGTTCTTGTTGCTGTTGTCTATCCTCGTGGCTACTAAAACTAAGAAGTTCAAGTTTTTCACTGCAGAAGAAGAGAAGTGTTCGCTCCAAGACCACAGCAGGATTCAAAACGCCAAAGGCATTGTGAAAGAGCTCAAAGATTTGAAACTGTGCGTAGCGTTTCCACTGAAGAGTCCTGCTTATTTGCCTCGTTTCCACTGAAGAATCACAACTGGCACAGTTCGTTGTAGATGAGTAGATCTCACACAGTTGTCCTAGGAAATGGTAATTGATCACACGCCCATCTTCACGACCGAGAGGAGACTGGTAGTTTAATACTTGTTCGTCGTTCTGGCATTTGCTGCGTGCATGTCCCCGTAAGACGAGGAGGAAAAAGCGGTCTACTACTTCCTCGTGCATGCGTTCTACTACATCGGACTCGGTAGTAGACTTTGACATAATGTTTTCCAGAAAGACCAAGATTCTCCTCTTCAACTCTGGATCGTTGCAGGTAGCCGCTGCACTAGTTTTGTTCTTCTTGACAACAGCCAGCTTAACTTCGTTCTTCATCGACGCTGCTTTTCCATCAGGAGGTTTGTCTAAGACGAACTTCTGCTTTTTCATTTTTGCTGTCTTCCCTGTAGTAGGATTTTGCTGTTTTTTCGCAGTGTGGGGATCTCTACTTTCAGTACGATGGTCTCCACCTCCCTCATCACCACCGCCCACTGCATTGTGCAAGAATCCCGGACGCTGTAAAATAGCTCCTAAATGGCTGAGAACCAGGGGAGATATCTCGACTGCTCCATTAGCTAAATTCACTAGCATCTTTGCATAGCTATGACCAAATGTTACACCTAGAACCGTCGATCCCGCATCTGAGCCGATGACAGCAGAGAGAAAGCAGAGAGAGCGAGCTAGACAGGCTGCATGGCGTACGATTGTCAAGTCGTTGTCTTCTAGTGCGGTACAACTAGAGTTTGGTCGAATCCTCGGAGCCACGACCCTTGACGAAGTAGTAGACGTCTTCTTCTTGTTTTCATCTTCATGCTTGTCATCGTCTTTCCACTTGTCTATCCACTTGTCATCGACTTTCGGTCCACTTTCATCTTTCTCCTCATGATACAGCTTTTCTTCATGATACAGCTTTTCCTGTTTTGCTATCCTAGCAGAAAGATCTCTGTCATTTTCAACCGTGGTTCGTTCTGTTTTCACCAACGCATTAAGCACACGACGAAAGAAATCTCCTCTCGTTCCCCTTAGATGCGGTCGTGTGGTTGTACTGCTAGAACGAGAAGAAGTAGAAACTTTTACCGTGTCCTCCGATCCTTTCGCGTTCTTCAGTTCATCCACCAAAGTTTGCCATGTTCTCAGCTGACGATGACACGTCTGAACGAAGTCTTCCACTGGCGTAGAGACAAAAGCAACCAACGTCCTAGTCCGGCGAACAGTAACGGACTTGCTACTCCTTGTCGTTCTGGTAGAGCTACGTTCTACTTCTAGAAGGGGTTGTGATGCGACGATGTCAGTACTAGTACTCGGGGTTGAAAAAGCTCCGGATTGAGGGAGGATGTTAGGTGAGAGTATGATAAGTGCTGACTCGTCGGCTTGTTCTGGAGACCTTTCTTGTTTGACAGGGGCAGCTGGAGTTTTCTTAGACGAGGAGAGCTTGACTACTTGTTTATCTTTTGCATTTGCTCCCTTGATTCCTTTCACCTTAGCCTTGCCGCCTTTCTTGTTCGGTGTCTCTTTGATTGTCGCCTTGTTTGATTTCTTCTCATTACGCAAAGGAGTTTTCAACTCTTTCACATCTTCAGCAGATGATGAACTTGAACTCGAAATCAACATGCCAGCTAGTTTGGCAGCTGAAGCCCCTTGGTGTCCGAGTACTCTGCTGACATGTTCTGCGACAACGTCGTTGGGGAGATCGGGTGCCTGAGACGACGTCTGATCTTCTTGACTGCTACAAGTAATGTAGTGCTGAAGTACCTCAGACAGCGCAGAAAAAGCGGGCATCTGACACGCACGCTGGTTTTCTTCAGATGATAGGTCAACGTGGATTTTTTTCCTGCAGTTCTCGCTGCTTGTGACTGCGTTCTTCAGCAAGAAGAAGTGAGCTATGCGACTTTGCAGATCTGCTGCGGCAGCCGAAACGCGGCAATGGAGCGCATGTTCGGTGACGTATTTTGCACACGGCAAAACGGTAGCAAGAAGTCTTGCTTCGAGTGCAGTTGCCTTGGAATCGACGCCTGATTGTCGGTGTTGCGCAGAATGCTCGAGGACATCATCATGGAGACAACAACTGACAGCTTCACTAAGCAATTCGAGAGTTGCAATTCCGAATCGGTCGGCTACCGATGACGTTTGCGTGGCAACCAACATGTCTGAAGATTCAGTTCTCGCTGAAGATGTCGGGGAAGCAGAAAAACCTTGACACAGGTAGTCGAAAAGAGGATGAACTCGTGTGTTGTCCACCTCCACAGGTGACGAGGTCGACGATAGTATCAATCGAAAATGCAAAGGCTTTTTTTCATTCCTGTCCAGATTTTTGTCCTTTGTTTTTTCTGTCGCGGCATTCGCATCGTCATCCGCGTCTCTAGGCTCCCCGCTGGTGTCTTCCTCATCTTCCTCCTCCTCCTCGTCATCATCGTCGTCACTATTTTCACTTCCATCCTCAACCTCATCTTGATCATCTACGTCCATAGCACTTTTATCTCCTTCGTCACCCGCCTCTTCGTTTACGCTCTTCTTTTCTTCCGCGATGGCAGCACCACTGCACAGATTAAGTAATGCCGAGATGATGGTGTCGGTGTTGTCTTCACTATGTGAAGTGCAGTTTCGAATATTACTTGTTGGCAACAAGCGCATTGTGCGCAGAACAACTGACAGGCCAATGAAAGCTCGCGTCGCCTCAGACAAAGGTAATGATGTTGATGTGCCGCAACGTCGAAGAGGATCAGCACCTTTGTTCAAAATGGCGTTGAAAAAGGTCCTCCTTATCGCGGATAAGCTGGAGTCGGAGTGAGCATCATTAAACTTGGGAAGATCATGCTGATGCTTTTGCAACTTCATAGATGAGGCAGCGAATCCATGGAGAAAGGAACCCACGCTGAAGCAGATGTTCTCGCTGGTTGCGCCAGTGTCGAGTTCTGCGAGTAAGAACAAAAACATCAAAAGCTTGTCTCCATATTCAGCTACATTATCTTGATCTTCATCTTTGTTTTCTTCTTCCAGCCTCTTGTTCTTCTCCTCTGTCGTACCAGAAGTTGTGGACATGCCTTCCTTGCTGTCCTCCAGTAAAAGCAGAGACTTTGCAACTGCCCTTGTTGTCCTGCTGATACTAGTGGATGACGAAATCGTAATCAAGCTTGCTATCTCGGGAAAACAGCGTTCAGCAAAGATGTCCATGAAACTATCGCTTTCTGGGATACGTCTGGCGAGCTCGCACAGGAAGGCGAATCTTTCAGGATTACTTGTTGATCTTGATGTGGCGCCGGTGGTCGTAGAACTAGTACTCGAAGTCGTAGAAGAGAAGTAGTAATCTGCCAACAGACGTGCTGCCTGCAGCCGCACACTCAAACTTGCATCACGCAAACGATAACGGACTTGAGAAAGCAGACCTAGACCTTCTTCTTTGCTTTGATCTACCTCCAAAATACGAAAAACCCCAATAGCACGCAAGGCCGCTTCTCGTACAAACGCTGACTTCGCGTCTCGCAGACCATGCAACAGGGTCGACTGCAGTTGATCGTTTCTAATCGACTTGAGACGGTCCATGTCGTACCACCGTAGAGCGTCAAATGCTTGACGCCTCAGGCTTGGATTGGGAGAATGAAGCGCAGACACGAGCATGTGTTCAGTTCCCCGATAGCACCACTGTAGGAGGCGAGTCTTGGTTGTGTCTTCCTCATTTGCCTGCTCTGGTGGGGGTTGGCTGCACCCGAACAGCAAGAACCCACCGCCTCCTTGGGTTCTTGTTGAACATTCAAACACCTTCTCCAAAAACAGATGAATCGTTGTCGCGAAGCGCAATGTTCGACTGTCGTTTATGACGATGCTTTTGTTCATTGCGGGTTTTGTAGCTGACGGCTCTGCTGCTTCTGGTTGCATTCTACTATCATCATTCTTAGATTCTGTTTCGAACTGTTGTATGTGCCCACTTGGATCCCGTAGACAATTCAGCAAGTCCAAAAGGTCCATGTTCTTGCTCATGTTGACCGCCTTAGTACCTTGCTTCTTGGAAGATGTATTTTTCACCCTGGTTGATGCAGACCTCCCTGCGGATGTTGTACTTGTAGCCCCTGCAGGACCGCGTCCTGTCGTTCTGCTTCTACTTCGTGATGCTTTTCTTGCGCCGCTGTTTTGCTTCACTACTTCCTGATCATCTTCTACAGCAGTCAGAATCGTTGACTTCTCCAACAGCACACAAACCAAACTGCTCAACAAGATTGCGTTTTTTACTTCTTCCGCACTAGTTCTTGTAGTAGTGCTAGGTATTGTAGTTTGTGTGGCTGCTCCTGTCGTGGTGCAACATTTCTTCAGCAAGTTGAGCACCAACGTGCGACGAAAAGTATTCCCTGTCTGCGATTTCCTGTCCGTGTGGAAGCTGTCTCGGAGAAGACCCATCACTGCAGTCTGGTTTTGGTCGTGATCTTTACGTAGGTCTTCTTTTTCATCTTCTAAGTATCTAACCTCCGCCGGTGTAAGATCCTCGTAGACCCGATCGTCAGCACAAGCAGTGGCAGAAAATATCTCCTCCAGCAACTTTCTGCAGAGGGCACATGCATGCTCTTCGGCTGCTGTTGATGTTGTGTCTGAGGTGGATAGAACGATTTCCTCATGATCCAGAGTGGTGGTGTCAGCTTCAACCGCGCTTCGGTTTCCAGCTAATTTTGAAGCAGATGTTGAGGTAGCACAAGCAACTGAGTCATGCGGTGTCTTGTCGCAAGTTGTTCTCGTTTGTTCTGCCAAATCCAATCGTCTGCGCTTGGACTTGGGACCTGGGGTGACGAAACGTGGATCCTGATCAAAGTTTTTCGTTGTGCTTGTTATCGTTATGGTTGCAGCAGTTGTACCTGTAGTTGCTGTTGTATCCACTTCTAGATTTTTTGTCCTTCTTGTGCTAGATCCAGGATAGTTCTGCAGCACTAAATCGCTTATCCGTTCGAGATGCCAGACTCGGAGATATCGAGGGCAGAGAAGAAGTCTGTAGGGCCCAGAACGTAATCGAAAGCCGTCTGGGCGCAGCAAACCGGTAGCAATGACGGTAGCAAGTTCGAAGTGTTCTATTTCTTGTTGTTCTTCGTGGTGTTGATGTTCACCAGAAGTTGATAAAGACTTTGCCGACAAGCGCAATACAATCTGCAAGGTCAGACTGCGAAGCCACTGCAATCGTTTCTGACCGACGTGGTCTGAGCGCATCAACTTCGCAAGACGTTGTTGACGTTTCTTATTCTCTAGGCAAAAAGAGGGGTCTTCTTCCAGGAGATTAACACTGTCGTGTTGAGGAAAACGATGTCTTTTAGTCGGTTCTTGCGCATCTTCATTATCTTCTGAGGAAGTTTCTAGATCAAGGTCAAGACCGTCATCGTTAACATCTTCTTCTGCTCGAGTAGTCGTGGAAAGCGTGGTGGTCGAGGACTTGAAAATGCCAGTCGTTGTAGAAATAGTTTTCTTCATCTTCGAGCTATCTGCTACCTCGACCAGTTCCAGTTCTGCTAGAAATTTCTTCAAAATGCGTGAATATCCGCTTCGAAAGGAATTACAAGTTGGTTCCAGAGAACCTGTCAGGCCAAATTCTTCCGGCAAAGAAAGCCACTCTCTAACGTTTTTAGCCCAAGGCCACTCGCAAGGCAATGCGCCCACATAGCCTTTGCGTTCTTGTTCCTTACGTGTAGAGAAGTAGAACTCCTGCACTGAGAAGAGAAGCTCATCTGGAGTGCCGAAGATGTAGGTGAGGACATTGTAGGTGTCCACGACTTCTTTTGGTGGAAAGGTTTTTTGCAACGCTCGACTCTGAAGATCTTGTAGTTGTTCTCCTTGCTGAGACCTCGCATTTTTGCTGTTCGTCTTGGGAGGTTCCCTCTTGTCAGCGTTAGAAGTTTTGACGATTTTCATACAAGTTCTTGATCTTGAAGGGCTACGAGCACGAGTGGACGTTGTTCCAATCGCTACTCTTCCCGTTGTATTAGACCTGGTGCTACTGACCAGAGTAGTGTTATTCGATGATAACAGCAGTTGTTGCGTGATGTCGCCAAAAGTGCTCGCCTCAAAAACGCGCTCTAACAAGGGCCAGGTGTATTGCAGGTCAACAAGCAGAATGCGCCAAAGCAAGAAGAACGAGTCAGCTCGTAGACTCGCCTTTGCACTCTGCTTACTTCGAACCCAGTCGATGTTTTTATCCTCTTTTGACTTCTGCTGTTTTTTCTTGCTCAGGTCTTTCTTCTCCTTCACAGCCATTTCGGCTTGATCATGACCGTCACCGTCAAGTTGAAACCCTGCCTCCTCACACCACACATCAACCAAGGCATTCCTGACTTGTGTCAAAGTCATCTCGATAAACTCTTCTCGCTTTGCGTGTCGCTGTGCTTCTGTTTCTACGATTGAGGTCGAAGAACAAGATGTCGAAGAAGTACCACCAGCTCTAGCCGTACTAGATCTACTTGTTCTAGATGGCGTCGTATTACTACCACCACTCGAAGATGATGTGGATGAAGACCCACCGGCACTCTCTCCCACGAGTTCTGGCAAGTAGTCCGCAGCAAACAGCTTACAGAGCTGCTCCACTTGCCAAGCGGGACGCTCATCCGGATGGCTTAGACTGTCTAGGAAATTGAGAGGGCGACCGGACTGTTGAAACAGTTTGGCACGGTTTGTTGACTGTCTCTTACTGGTTCTTTCACCAGTGGCTTGCGCCGCTGGATTCTTGGAACGAACGGGCATTCTTGATGCTCTTCTTGCTGTATTACATACTTGGACGATAAAAATTTTTCTGACTTCAAAAAATACTATGAAAGCTTATCTTCTATTATGTAGACTACAACATTCGATGCAGAAGAACAATGAGTGAAGGAATATAAAATGCGGAATCACTAGTAGGAGTGCGAATTCAAAGGGGGAGCAGAGTGGGGACTGGCACGGTGGGTAGGAAGAAAGTGTTTTTTGAGATTTTTGTATTTTCGAACCAGATTCATCTAAAACCAGGTCTTTTGTGTTCTCTCGTCCGCTAAAAATCCAATCGCTATTTGAAACCGAAACCGACGAAACTGAGAAAGGACACGGATGAGTCATTGAAGATAGTCAAAAAAAAACCGAGTGCGAGTTGCGTGCTTTCCTTTTCGAAAACAAGACGAGGCATTCATTTGTTACCGAGATAGATTTTCCATGACTCAACCTAGCAGAAACGACCGAACGCAGTTGAAAACACAGACGATAGATGCTTCGTCATCGTCCAGTTTTCGTATTCTTCTGTTTGTTGTCTCTTCTTCGCGTTCGCACATATGATGATAACACTTCTTCCTCATCGGTCTCTTTCTGCATTGAATTTTCCTCGAGGTCGGGACCATTGTCATCTTCGTTGGTGAGGAAGCTATGGTCGAAAAATGTCGTCGAAGTATTTCTCGTATTCTTCTCGGGATAGTTATACTCGAAGGAAGCTGAATTTTCGGGCTCATCCGTGGAATTCTCCATCCTTGCGCGGACGCTTTTGCCCCTTCGATTGAAAATTCTCGATCTTGTTCTGCCCCTTGCAGTGGCGTTGGACGCAGATCCGCATTCTCCTGAGTAGTTCTTGGGACACCTTGAATCTTCATACGTTGTTGACGCTGAGCTCTCGACACTCTAGTACTACCTCTCCTTCTAGTGCCTGACATCGTTCTCCCTTGTCTTTTTCTTCTCCTACTCCTTGTTGTTGTTCCTGGCACACTTCTACCCGCTTCAACTCTGCAGTCGGCCATGGTTGATCCGGGAATTGTGAAGAAGACGATGATGACGTGATGAAGGCGTTGATCGCGACAATTGTCCAAAGAAGCCACCTCCTGGATCATCAGAAAATGGTATCATTCCCCTCTCCGTTGTATTACCTTGGTGTCGTGGGAAGCTCCTCGTAGATGCTGGCGCTCGGGGCGCCTTTTATAAATTTTGTTTAACATGATCAAATTCTTTACGAATCGCAGAAAAGACAGTAAGCATGCAGACGGGGACGAGGATGCGCATGCATGTGCCTATCATCTGGTGGTTAATTGCCGACTATTGTAAGTACCTCACGAAAAACTTCCGACTTGTACCTGCTAGCCATTGCCATGGCGTTGGCGTGTGGATGAACAACTTGATTCAATACTACTTTTTATGTCTACTTTTACACAGACACGTTTTCTTTTGCATTCTCGGAATACCCGCGAGGGAGGAAGAGTGTACATCACTTTCAGGTCTAGTCGGGGATGTACGTGAGGCGTATGGGGCCATTTATTACAGAGGCAACTGCGGGTTGCTCTCTTAAAACCAGATGGTAGGCGGACTCAGTCTCTCCACTCTTCTTTCGTAGGACTGATTTCAGTAAATCTTCGCGCAATAGATACCTTTACCTGTCTGTTCTTCGTTCACACCTTTTTTGTAGTGATGCTGATGAGTTCGTGTGTACTTACAGATTGACTCCAGTTCCGCGACACCGGAACGTGACTCTGTTCTACAGATTCGAGTTGCCCTTAATTGCCAGTCTGATAATATCACGTTATGAAATACATTTTGCAATCTTCTCCACAGTACGGATGCTCGTCAAGGCCTCCCGCATAGGGTGTCGCCTTCTACTGCAGTACTTACCTACATAGACGCCAAGTCGACGTTCCTTGCTGAAAATGAAATGCCTAGAAAAACCAAAACAGAAACTGAAGCAGGTTCTTGTGCTTAGCATGTCCATGCCAAAATTGTCTGACGGTGTCATCACGTGGCCCAGTGGCGCTGGCCTGTGCTACTTGGTCTTTGTGGCTTTGACTTTGTCCAGCCACATTCTGTTTGAAACTCTTGAGTTTGAAAGATTCAGTTGGAAAGTTTGAGTTTGAACTTCTTGGGTTTCATCAATAATTGTGTTTGAATGGTTGATAGTGACGAGTGCTCCACCTTTCCTAACTGGAAATTCGCACATATGCGGGGCCCTAGTACTTGACCGCCATATACTATCTAAACATGTCATCTAAGGATGTTCCACCGCCGGATGAGCTAGCCGCAGGTGCTGCAGCGGGCGGGCCGCCGCTACCAGTGGGACTCCCAGTTGGACTCGGCTGTGCGAGTATTTTCTGTGCCTCCACTAATTGCGCCGGCGTCAGTGGCTGTCCCGATGCCAGTAGCTGCATTAGCTTGTCGCGAGACATATTCATTGTCGGACTAGCAGATGAGGTCGAGGGCGTGCTCCCCTCTCCACCCCCCGGTCCCCTTAATTCGCAGTCCTTCGGATCGAAGTTGCGTTGGGTTGGGACCGCAGATGTCGTAACCGGCTTCGAAAAGTCCGTCACATCTAGAGATAGCAGGTCTGCGACAGGCGCGCTCGAACTAGAAGACGATGAGCCACCAGACGGTGAGGCGTCGAGGCTGTGGTCAGGAAGATGCGGCGAAAAAGCGATGAGACTGAAGAACTTTCATGAATGGTATCTACCGGTATCCATTTCTTTTGGACTCATAATCATGATCCTGTTCCTGTATATCAAATAAAATCTTCATAAGAAATACTTCAACGCTATACATTTGTAACAAAGAATTAGAACATAAACGCGTGTACGATAACAGATCCACTGGCGGAGCGGCAGGTGCTGGTGGCTGTTTAGTCGCAACTTCCTCCAAAGTCGGCTTTTTCGGATTGTCGACTGCGTATTATTGATTCATATAATATCCAGATCATCAATATGCACGAGACGAGACAGCTAGAAAGGGGAACAAGCACCAGACCAAGAAGAGTGACAAAGCTAACAAGCCCACACCCTACACACAGCCGCAGTCACTTCGCTGCAGAAAACGCGGAGCAGCTTGCCCCCCGTCCTGCTCAACGTTCCGATGGGCCTGAGACTCTCCAAGACGAAAAAAAAAGCGGCTCGAAGGTCTGGGCTCAGAACGACACGACAGCACTTGCGGCCTTCCTCCTCCCTAGCTGTGCCCTGCAATGTGTGAGCTGTTGGCCCGCCCTCGTGTGGTCGCGTCCGATTCTAATGCAGCTGGATAAATACCGGGGGCCCCTGCTGTTCAAAGATTGAGGGCGGAAGAGGCTGCAAAGGTGTGGGCGGCCCAAATCATCCACGCACCCCTCCGCCAAGTTCTGCAGCGCTGCGGCTGTTGTTGTTAGTTGGTTGCTAAGGTGTTTGCGCCGGTGATTTCGCGCGTTGCTTGGTTTTCATGATCGATGCTAAAGAGGGCGAGCGCCAAGTCCACAGACGGAGGACACAGCGCGCGGAGAGAAAAGAAAGAAGAAGCAACGAACAAACTGGAGCGGGGAAGGGGGCGCCTCCCTACTTTTTCTCATTTAATTCCGCCGCCTTTCCTCATCTCCTCTCTATATTCACTGCACCACTACCCCCAAGCCCTTACGTCTCCGCTTTTCTCCGCGACGCACTCCAGGCCCGCACTCACAGGACGCGGCTCGCACTCATGACCACACTTGTCGCTGGGTCTCTGTAGGTGGAGAAATTGAACCGGGTGAGCAACCACCCCCACAGGTTTCGGCTTGCATCACTTCCAGAAGTGCCTTGACTGTCGCCGTTGTTCACGATTTCATCAGCAGAGACGCCGCGAAGTAGGAACTGCGCAGGATGCGTTGCGTAATCAGGCTCCAGGCACAAGTCCGCAACTTTGAAAGTTTCGACCTCGTTCCGCGTCTCGCGTTTGATCCTCGCAGCGTCCTCACAAAAATGCTTGATAAACGTGGAGGCCCCACTTTTCTGGCGCAAAAACTGGGCAAAGTTGTCAGTACACCTCTCGGCCACTTGCTGGCCCACACGCGACTGGTAAAGTTTCTGCGTGACATGGGCAAGGCACAGCGTGTCCTTAACCGACTCAATTTGAACGCCTTTGCCTGTGACCTTATGCCTTTGGATTTTCGCAGGGAGTTCTGCTGCGAAAAGACGCGACTCACACTCGCGGGGCCGGCGGGCGCGACTCATAAGACGCAACGAACTAAGACGACTGCCACTCGCAAGGCGCGACTCACAAGACGCGGCTAGCACTCACAAGACGCGACTCCCAAGACGCGCCTCGCAAGGCGCAGCCTAAGACGCGGCCCGCACTCGCGAGGCGCAGCCCGCAGCCGCAAGACGCTGCCCACACTCCCTCGCAAGACGCGACCCGCAAGGCGCACGCGTGCCCTCACTCGCAGGCGGCGCCCCATAATGTAATCACTTCACACCCACAGAAGACAACTCGCGCCCACATCGGCGCGCCCTGGACTTCCTGGCGGCCGCTTCCTTGCCCGAGACGAGTGGCAGCCCTTTCCTGCTCCTACGTGCAGCCAGCTCGACGCACTGGGGGAAAGTCCTAGCGAGACGCCTGCCACTTTTCTCGACGCGAAAGCCCCAGCCAGAGGCAGACGCACCCGAAACCAGCACAGGCATCCGAGGCGCCTCATGCCTTTCGCCTTATCTAGTGCGCCATCTGTTGCTTCAATGCCTGGCCTTCGTGCTGAATAGCTGCGCCAGAAGTGCGGGGGATGCCCTTGCCGCTTTCTCGCTGGGGCCTCGTTTGACTACCAGGGTACTCCTTGCGCCGACGTCCACGCCAGTCGGCTTCTTCCGTTGCCCAAGCTGCGCCCTCTTTGCCTCTGGCAAGCGCCGAAGCCTCTGCACCCTTTTGCAAGCAGCCCAATCGGTCCAAGAGGGTGCGGGCTGGGATGTTCGTGAAAAAGTCCACCCATGTGCGTCCACGATACGGCGCGCCGCACGGGCCAGAAGTCGCCAAGCTTGCGACAGTGTTCCACTTCCACCCAGTTCCAGCGCGTTTGCCCTAGGCCTGCTCTTTTTTTCCAGGCTCCCTCTTGTGCCGCATCGACTCACTCAGCTACATTACAGCGCCCGCAAGCCCAAGCAGCCACAAGAGTCTACGACTGCGGCCCACGGGCCCGAACAGTCTGGCACCCCTTCCGGTGGTGTCGAGGTGCGTGCAGCTTCTGACACTGCGCGCCGCGGCGGTTCCGTGCCGCGGGTCGCACTGTCGACACATTCGGCAGGCGGGTCACTGCGAAGCAGCCGCGCGCCCGGGGGCTGTTGCGGCGCCCTGCAGTGCAGGGGCGTTCCCCCTCACCCCGGGAAGGGGTGGGCCCCTCGCGTGCTCCGTTCCGTTACTTGTCTCAGCTGGTGGCAAATGTGTGACCAACGCCGTCCCCCTATCATTGCCGGGCCCCACGCTGTGGCCCTCTGCTCAAAGCAACAAACCAGAACCACAAACACCGAGCGAGAATGATATAACTATGGTATAAGTACCTCCTTCCCTCGCCGCTTTCTCTGCTCTTTGTCTTTCTCGTTCTTCTTTTCGCTTTTTCCTCAGCTTTTGTATTCTTCTTATTGTCGTCGGCATTCGCACTCCATCCTGGACGTCCTGTGTTGCTGGGCCTGTCGTTGCGCCATTCAGAATCCACTCCATAGCAGCTTGGGTGTCGTTATTGTGCAGCCTCAAAGCTCGTCGCGCATCAGATTCGTCAAATCCCTGGCTCAGCAGACTCGAAAGCGATAGAGGGTCCACGGAAACTTTCTGAAGTTGATGGTGAAAGTGGATGTGAGGCTGCAGATTGGTTTGGCACTCAATACAGAACATAGTGTTGAGTAGTTCGTAACGACCTGAACAAATCGTCAAAGCCATCTTGAAAGTACCGGCTCCTCTTCCACTGCCCGTCCGTCTTTCTCGAGCTTCGTTATCAATTTCACTCCAAAGTCCGTGATTGGCTCTTCGTCTTCGTCGTCTTCTTGGAGCTCGATATCTACTTGGTTTTCCAAGTGTTCTGGCGTCATTTCGACCATTGGTCGAAACTCCATTCTCTTGGGCAGAACGCCAGATATCGCATGCGCGGAACTAGCGAAAAACTCGTATTGCAAATACTTGATCGTTTGTATCGTGGAATCAAGGATGTCGCCTTTGTACCTATGGGTTTGTTTCTCATGATGATGGCTTTGAGTGCAAGGCAATAACGATCTTCTTTCCTCTAATATTATTGACTGGAGGATGATATTCGTCATTCTGATGCTCCAGGCAAAGATACAAGGTACTCACGCATCTCCATCTCCAAATGCACAAAGCACAAATTAGTACTCGTCCAAAATGTAGAGCCACTCGAAGACGGTTTTGTCTATTTCGACAAAAGCTGCCTTGGAGGTGACGAGGTTCGCGTCGGCATGCATGTATTTCTTATCCGTTTTTGGCAAAGCCTTCACTTTTTCCATTTGCTTTTTCGCGGATTGGTACTCCATTAAGCGGCGCCGCCTTTGCTCCAAATTGTTCTTCAGATTTCCTGGTACATAATGTGGTGGCGATTTGAGATTGTTTTCTTCATAAGTTATTGTTGTTCATAGGCAACACTCACAATGATTAGATGTACAGAAAGTATAAGTATAACAGCTGATCTAGAACATGAACAAGAACTCCTTGTAACTACTAGTGAGTACTGTTATTCATCAAGTGCTGTCGCATCGGCGTCAGAATGTTGAAGTCCATATCCCGTCTCAATTTCGCTATGGCCGAGTGTGGTGCGTCTACTCGCGTGATCTGGTTCGCACTCTCCTTCAATTTACAGCTCTCGGCGGCTGGAGTTTGAAAAATTTAGAGTTGTAAACCCGAACAGACTGAGGCTCGAAGCCGAAAGACTGAAAAAAGTGAGTACTAGAAATCCAACTCGACAAAACTTGCGATGGATTAAATAATTAGAAAGATGTTGATGTACTACACACCACTCCATTAGCACGAAATTCAATTTCTCAAAGAAGTAGAAGATACCAATCTGCGCATCTTTTTCTTTTCCCATCCCGCTTACCACGACCTCCGCGACTTTCATGATCCCCGTACAAAGATTCTCACAACTCCGCATAAACTGCTCGATTGTCTTATACAAATCTTGCATCACGTTGTCGAACTCGCAGAAATCGCGGACCGTACCCTCAAAGACAGGATCCACCTGTTCTCCATAGAAGTACTTTTCCTTCAAAACGACCCACTCCGTTTTCAGAGCGGACAAATGGTCGTCGAGACCGTCCATTTTGGTATTCTGGGGAAGTAAGTCCTTGGTTGAAGTAGTTGTGGTGGTCCTTTACAAAATGTGAAAAGGAACTTCTGCTTCTTCTATGAAGTGTGTAAAAAATCTAATTGTAGCAAAGAAGAACATCAATGAATATGAACATCGTTTTGCTTTGCTGCGAATGACACTACGGGTGCAGATGAGTGTTGCTCTTTTTACTGTTGCACTTCCAACGTTCTGTCGTTTCTTCGTTTGACATCAAAAGTTTATTTTTGCATGACCGCTACAGATTGAGTGCAGTTTCTTTGATGAAGACGCGCTTCGCTCGTCGTTTCTTTGTCCGAGACAGAGCTCATACAGCTTTAGCTCGAACACTCTGAATGCACGTGAAACGCTGCACTTTCAGGAACTACGCGCGTTTGCGTCTTGCAGGATGTCAAGAGTGGAACGACAGATATTCGCCACCCTTTCTATGCTTGTACCGAGACGCCTTCATCGACGAACGGGATGATGATATGGAGTTCATTATCGCATCGGGTGGTGGAGGTGCAGGTGGGAAGAAGAATGAAGGTACTACTGGTGCACTTAGGCACCAAGCGCCAGTGGATGTTTCATGCGTGTGTATACCTGCTGTGAACTTACATGCTCTGGTGCATCTTCAAGTAAAGACTATTTCTTCCTGCTCTGCTGGAGTTCTTTCTTGGTCTAGAAAGTCGATGCTAGTATCATGATGTGGCGGGATGAGGTGCCACAACCGTGTGGCGACATCCTCAAGAGCGTTGGTAAATTCAGTGTTGATGTCGCTGTAGGTGTGAGTATTGTTCGCAATCGCAACCATTCCAGGAACGCAAGCTGCGCCATGCTCCTCCCATGCACCTTGGTATCCGAAATCCGCGGGACCTAGCCAGGGTCTGGCTGTCGGAACGAATTCAGGATAGCGTTTTTGGTTCGTTACATGCAAATGCAGATAAGGGACACTTGCTTTGAAGCCGTAGCTGCCACTGTATCTATCGTTGTGGACGCAGAGGAAGACAGTTGGTAAGACTGAATGTAGAAGCGTTGGAATGACAGAAGGTTGTTGGTCTACTTTCTGGTGTGTGTCGGCTTCGGCAAGAGCTGCAAGAGAAGGTGAAGATGTCGCTTCCATCACCATTTGTTCGACCTTCTTGATTTTGCCATGTTCTATATTCATCTTGTGTCCATCTTCAGTATCAGCACTTCGCCTAGGCAAGGCGTGGTCTTTCAAATAGAAAAAACTCAAGCCAAACAAGACCATGTCACGCAACGTCGCCCGGCCTATGGCATCATCGCAATGCCGTTTCAATGCTTCTAAAGTGACGAAGTAAGCACCGTCTGTAACAGGTTTAGGCCGTGCACCGAGAATTGTCAACGACGCGTTGTTTCTGTTGGGCGAAAGCTCATGCGTCACTGCATCAAAAAAAGTATGAACGAAATATTTGATAGCTGTTGCTATACTCGTGTAGAAACCACCAGCATCTACTTGCCCTTCAGATTCAGAAGCTTCAGAATCAGATGAGCCAGCAAAAGAGCCTAGCGCAGATGAAGGTGGCGAAGATGAACCACTTCTAGCAGCACTCTTAGGACTGGTAGAGCCATCGTTACTCCTCGAAGTAGAAGCAGTTGTAGACTGCCTCTCCCGCTTTCCATGGGGATTCCAGAAACTTTCTATGTCGTTTCCGGAGATAAGAAATCTGTCCAATTCTGCAGGTAGAACTCGTTCTCTATCTCCTGACGAAGCTGCACTGAGATCGGAAGGTGCTGAGGGGAAGCGAGCTGGGTTTAGAGAACCGCTGGAATCAGAGAACAGAGACATCAGAGCAGCACATCAAGACGCAGTTGTATGCTTATGGTAGTAGAATAGGTACTTCCCAGGCCAGCCAAAACTAGCTGCCTGCTCAACGGATTCATGAATACATAGAAAAAGAAAGGAGTAAAGACCTAGAACAATATTCGTCATATCATGAAGTCCTTCGGAAAGTTAAGTCCGACTCCTTTGGCGCACTGTGCTGCGTTCTCTTCATACCCTGGCCAGCCAGCGTACGCGGCAAAGCACTGAGCGCCAATTCCTAAGGAAGAAAAGTTTCCTGGAAGGACTGGTTGTAAGCAAGCCGACGATGAGGTTGAGGACGTAGAGCTAGTCGTGAGGTTCACTTCTTCTTCTGTGACTGTCTTCACTTCTTGTTGTTCTGTGACGACGCCAGGGCCAGCGCGATCATCAGGTGATAAAGAAAGCGGCCTTCCTTGTTCTAGTAGAAATCACGCCTTTACCATACTCAGAACAAGATAAGATAGTCTCACTATCTTTCACATTG